CACAGCAAACCCAGCCTGGCACAGCCCTGAGCCACTGTCCCCACAGCAAACCCAGCCTGGCACAGCCCTGAGCCACTGTCCCCACAGCAAACCCACCTGGCACAGCCCTGAGCCAAAGCTGAGAGCCACTGTCCCCACAAGGGACACTGACAGGAGCTGTGCAGCTTTTCCTGGTCTCAAACCTGCTCTTTTTACCATGGAGCTCTGAGTGGAAAGAGCAGGAGGTGAGGAGGACATTTGTCAGTGACTTTCGTCAGTGAACAAAAATCCCTGAACACAACCACATATCCCAGAGCATGGGAAAGCAGATGGACTGATGCAGGTGCTAGTGCCAAAGGAAAATCAGAATTAATGGCCCTTCAGCATGGAATAACTGCCAGTTTTGCATAGTTAGTAAAAGAAAACTATTTAAGAATGTTGAGAAGCCCTTGGTAGCCTAGGAGGGAAGTAGCAGAAGACCTGTTAGCCCACAGCTTCCAATCCAACCATTATACACCACACCTTGATTTCAAACTTTTCGTGCAGATTGGGGATAAAAATCTTCTCTTCCTCGTCCCATGTCTGGCTGTCATCAGTCTCAATTTTGCCTCTGAGCCTCCATTTCTGGCGCCCCAGTCTCACAAACACCTGGAAACCAGAGTGGAAAGAGGATCAGGACATCCCAGAGCATCCCTTCATCCCCCAGGAACAAAGCCATCCCTTGCCCACTGCACAGAGCAGAAAATGGAGCCAGGAATGGGGCAGCAGGTTTAACCCTGAAAAGCACCAAAGGCACTGGGGCAGAGCCCAGGCTGCACTCACATCGTGCCAAGCTCAGGGCAGCTCCTGGTGCCCGACCCAGGGCAGCTCTGAGGCCAAGCCCTGGCATCACTTAAAGCCTCCCATATCACCCAGATCACACCACTTAAAGCCTCCCATAGCACCCAGCTCACACCCAGCCCCTCTGTGCCTGCCCAGGGCACAGTGAGTGTGCCAGTGCTCTGCCCTCCTGACAGCAGAGCCTGGCCTGTCACAGCCTGCTCCTGCTCTCCTTCCACCCCTCCCAGCCCTGCCCCTGCCTCTCCCTGCAAGGAAAAGCACAAAATGCACAAAAGCTGCATACTGCACCTCATACTGGTCTCCTGGGCAGAGTCGAGCAAAGCCCACCAGCCCTGCAAAGAGAAGGAGAATGCCAGAGTTTGCAGAGCTTTTCAAAGCCCCCAGCAGCTCTGCAATAATCCAAGTGACCCTCTGGGGAACAGCCCCTCTTGTCCCCAGCCCTGTGCAGGCGCTGCACCACCAGCCCAGCACACTCTTAAAAGGACAGCATTTAATGAACTGAAAAAGAAATATGTCAGCTTTGTAGTCAAATATAAGATACTACGGCATTTAACTGGGCTGAAACAGAAAGCTTGTCAGCTCTGTGTTCCAATATAAGACACCATGGCAGGTGTGTTGGATGGCACTGGAGCAAAACCAGAATCCTACCCAAGGTTTCTCAGGGGGTCAGACTGCTCCCCAGAAACCACAAGCAATAAATCAGTGCAATCCCAAATCAGTGAAAGAGGAAAGGAGAAGGGACCCCACCTTTCATCTTGACATGGAACTCCCCCAGGTGCACCTCCAGAGCCCCCTCGATGAAGCACATGTCCTGCAAGAGAGGCTGCACAGTCACCAGCTCTGCAGGGCAGCTGCTGCCCCACACAGGCTATTGCTTCTAAATATCTTATTTTCTGTTTGTTTTTTTTCAAAGGACACACAAACATTTTCACCAGTAAAGGCAGATAAAAGTAAAGTGAATGGATTGGTACAACAGAAAATCTTCCACAGAAGAGTGGAACTCCCTGAGCTCAGCACTGTCAGCTACCCTCCATTAATGGTTTTGTAAAACTAGCCCAGCTTATTCCTTCAATCCCCATCCCACACTTCCATGGAAGCCATAAGAGACCCCAGCACCAAGGGGCTTTCACACAATGTGCAATGTATTTTTCCTACAATGTATTTTAACCCCCACCGTTAACCAAAGGCAGCAGCAGCCCCAGCACGGGTCTGGGGAGGAGCAGGCAGGTCCTGGCTGTGGGTGGGAAGGATCTCCTACCTCTGTGCACTCCTGCACGTTCCTGTAGAGCTCCACCAGGCTCTCCCTGGAGGCTTTGGTGGCAGGGGACAGCGAGAAGGCTTGCTTCATGTTGGTGGCGCCGTCCCGCAGCCTGCACTGGATGCAGTAAGCTTCATAGAGCTCCTCTACCTTTGGGACAGGGGACAGAAGGCACTGGAGTTACCCTGGCATGGCTTTGGGAAGGAACTTCAGCAGTGTTTATGGCAAAAAAAGCCAACAACCAACCGCAATTCCTCTGTCAGAGCTCTGCCAAAACCAACCCAACCAACAACCCAATGCAAACACAACAACCAACCCAACCCCAACCCAACAACAAACCCCAACATCTCTGTCAGAGCCCTGCCAAAAACCAACCCAACCCAACCACCAGCCCCAAACCCTCTGTCAGAGCTTTGCAGGATGCTGCAGCTCCTGCATTTGCAGTTTGCTCCTCGATATCTGTGCTTTTTCAAGAATGCAACCAACCCTGTTTTTCCAGAGCAGAAGACAAGAATTGGAGTAACCCTGTGCTCCCAGGAATCCCAGAGCAGAGCCCGGGTGCCCGGGCACAGCCTGGCAGCCCTGCAGTGCTGCTGTGCCACAGGGCAGCCCCTGGCAGGCTGCACACACAGAGCTGCCCCGTGGGAAGGGGCAGAACATGCCAGGCTTCCCAGAGCAGCATTTGCTGAACAAACTGGCAGAAAGTGCACACTGGTTTCACAGGAAAACTCAGGTTGGGCCGTGCCCAACATTCAGCCTGAATAGAGCCATTCAGGAAAATAAATAAATAAATAAAAATCCCCTCCTGCTGTAAAAAGAGTGGCTACAGCTCTCAGCAAGCCCCCAGCACTCTCCCCTTCTGCTGAACTGCAATCAGAGTGTTTTCCACGTGGATAAATCCCTTACAAAGCAGTGGGAGCCCTACAGCACACTCTATAAACCCTCACCTTGCTGATGTGAAACTCCAGTTTCCTGATGTATCTCTCCACAGAGCGGATTTGCTTTTCAGGAGGGCAGAGAAAGAGATGTAAGAAATTATTTCCCAAATGAGACATTGGGTAACACAGCAGACAGAAAATCACCAGTTTCTCCTCTATTTACAGCATTCCATGCCACCCCAACAGCCTTACCTTGTCCAGGTCGTAGTAGAAGGCCTGAAAGAGAAATGGCACAGGCTGAGCAGGAGAGCACTGGATTTGTGCCACTGCTGAGACTCTCATAGGCACGGCTAGAGTCACTAGGAGCATCCTAATTGACATTAAATTAACATTACAAGCACTGGTCAGGGAGCAGACACAGGAAAGAAACATGACCTGAAGGGCACTGCTGGGTACTGAAAATGAGAAATTTCAAGGTAAATTCTCACAGCTGGGACTGCCTTGCTTGGGACACTTCTGATTGTGCTGCTTTGAGGATCCCACCTCAGTGTTTTAACTGGACAGCCCTGGGACTCCCAGCTGGGAGAAGGCACCTACTCCTGTGCCTTTTATTTCAGTATTTAACATTGAAAGCACCTTACCAATCTAGAGTTCCTTTTTGTGTCTTTGTGCCGCCCAGAGAGACAATCCAGCTCAGCCTGGTGTGCCTCCAGGTATTCACTGGGGAGAGAGGAAGCCACGTCAGACCCTGGGCATTCATTAGGGATTCTTTGGGGAGCTGCTGCAGCAGGACATTACACGGGATGGAGGAGGAGAAAACCAAATTCTAGCGCACTCACAAATCACAGATGTCCCTCTCAGCTTTCCCTGACTGCTCCTGCCTGACCCTTCCCTGTGAGGCAGCAGAAAGGTTCACCTGCTCACAGGTTCCTGAGCAGAAAGGTTCATTTTTCACAGGCCCATCAGCAGAAAGGTTCACCTGCTGGCAGTGCCTGAGGAGGATGAGGAGGAGCCCCCAGGCAGCCCCGGCTCAGGGGCAGAGCCTCTCCACATGGAGCCCTCCAGGCCCAGCTCACAAACCCTGCCCAGGTGAGGGGGCAGATGCTGCCCAGGGCTCCAGCAAACAGAGCTGAGGGCTGTGTTAAGGCAATTCCTTAATCCCTTTTCCAGGATGAGGTGCATTTTGCAAGGTGTGAAGCCCTGGGTGCCAGCTGGCCTCTGCAGAGCTGCTTGCATGCAAGGTTGTGCCTTTGGACTCTCCACAGGGCCTGAAACCTTTTCAGCTGGGACTCCTCCAACTCTGCTTTTAATGCAGAGCAGACTTGGGTAACTTTTTCCTCCAGTGCTTAAAAGGGACCAGAATCACCTGGTGAACACTGCATTCTTAGACACAGTCTCTGAGCAGTCCAAATAACTTCATTTTAGACAGCTCCACTTCCTCACACTGGCTTTGATGCATTTCGCTTTCTCCCTGTTCCAAATCCAGGTCCCCCAGGACATCCCACACCTCAGCACTCAGCTGGAGCTCCCAACACCTGCCCAGAACAGCCCAGGGCAGGAGCCAAGGCTGGAGGCACAAAGGCACAAACTCACCTCTCAGAAAAGCTTCATCACTTTTAGCTTTAGCATGTTAGAATCAGCAGCTTGCTGGAATGGCAGCCAGCTGGTTAACAGAATAAAGAGGTATTTTCTAGAGCTATAAAGAAGCAGGCACATAAAATATGTTCTGTACTGAAAGCTCCAGTCCCTCCAGCACCAAGTGGACTCAGCCTGCATTTGCTTAAAGCTTGGCCCCTGCTCTGCTATTTGATCCAGTTGTTTTCTGTAGGTTCCTCCAGTCAATTAGTCACCAGTCATGCTGGCAGCACTGAGCATGTGGCACTCGCTGCAGGACTGGGAACACATCCTGACCCACTTTACAGCCTCTCCTCCCCACGCTCAGATAAATTCTCAGCTCTGCAAAAACATTTGGTTTCCTTGTTTCTTTTAAATCTAAGTCCTCTATAAGACATTGGTGGGTATTTTTAGAGGGAAGACTTCATAGCCTTTTATTGGACCCAAAACGTGACACATCTGACTTTATAAAGTGTTACTACATGCATTTGCTGTTCTCTGCTTAAGAAAACAAAGCATGGCCAGAATGAGGGCAGTAGCAGAATGTGGAGGACAGCAGCACCACACTGCAGGGGCTGCCAGGAGCTCCAGGGCTCACAAAGCAGGGAAAGGTGCTTTATCTTCTGATAGCAGCTGCAGGCTGTACGTGAAGTTCCTGTGGTAACCGACCCAGAACATTCTGGGGAATCAAAAAGCTGAAGTTTGCAGGTGAACCTGCTTAGACCTTTGCCTTACGAGGCACCCAGAGATCACAGAGTTATTTTGAACTTCAGAGTTTAATTCTATTAAAAGAGGGAGAAGAAGAAATAAAAAACCAAAGGACCCTCCTAGAAGAGCTGACTCTGTAATTATCTCAGCAATTAGCACCAGGAGAACAGAAGTGCTTGGTGAGCCAGCCTCCCTCCCCACTCTGCCTTTGCAGGGCACACCCTCACTTCCAGACTGGGTTTTAAATCAGCTTTTTGAGCTAAAGCAGACTGCCCACAGTTCCCTTGCAGGAGCTTTGTGCCATCACATCCCAGGTCTGGCTGTCCCGTGCCCACCGTGCCCCCCTCAGCTGCTCCCAGGGGATGGGCAGTGTCACTGTGCCCATTATAACCAGGAGCTAACACAGCACAGAGCCCTGGCCTTGCCAGGGACCGAGGGGGAATTAAATCCATGTCCCAGGGCCCCAGGAGCGGGGCAGTGACCACAGGGGTGCCCGAGGGGACAGAGCACAGAGCCACACACACTTCAGCAGGGAGGGCAAATCACAATATTGAAAAAGTCCTTACTTAAGTCCTTTCTTCAAAGCTTCAAAAATTTTCTTCACCTGCAGTGGCTTTGGGTCCCAGATGAGCGCCCCCTTCTGCAGGGAGTTGTAGGCCTTGGGGGGCTTCAGGGACATCCTGGACCTCACGGAGCTCCTGCTCAGGGACTTGCTGTGGGAGGAGAAGGAAATCAGGGGAGGTGCAGAGCCCAGAGATGCTGAGGCACACAGTTCAGGGGCAGCTCTACCATCCCAAACACTCTCACTCAAAACCTGCACGTTCCTGGGCACCTGAGAGCACCTGGCAGAAGGAGAAGGAAATCAAGAGAGGTGCAGAGCCCAGAGATGCTGAGGTACATGGTTCAGGTGCAGCTCTACCATCCCAAACACTCTCAGAACCTGCACGTTCCTGGGCACCTGGGAGCACCTGGCAGGAGGAGAAACCCCAGAGGCAGCTGTGTGTGTGCCCAGCAGGGCAGGGCAGGGCTGGGCACAGCCTGGCTCACCCAGGGCAGCCCTGCTGAGCAGTGCAGCCCCCTGACCCACCCTGCAAGCCAGGAAACAAACCTGAGGCCGCTCGAGGTCTGGGGCACAGCTCCCCTAAGGATCCTGCAGGAGCTGCTGCTTCCTGCCCTGCACTCTCCATCCCTCCAAACCATGGCTCAGAGCACTCTCAGCTTCCCAAAGCCAGGCCCAGACTGCACACAAGATATAGCTATCAAGGGTTTTTTTCAGCATCTGACACCTCAGCTAATTACTTTTAATGGCAACTGCAAAATCAAAATTCAATATTGTTTCTACCAGAAGTCCCCCACTTTTTTATTACAGACTTTTTTTGTGCCACTCTAAGGAGTTGGAACACCTTGAACCATCAGTTAGAAACACCTTTAAAGCAGAAAATGAGCTCTCTGCAAATAATTCCTGTCTGGCTTCCCTCTCTCTAAATCCTCCCCTAAGTCTGGGCTATTTTTACATTGGTTTGTTAATAATCCCTGTAAGTAAAGCCTCTAAAATAACATTACCTGCAGAGGTTTCCCATCTCCCAGAGCAAGCCACACCAGCCAGTTGCTCTCTGAACAGCTTTCTACCTTATATACAATTTCCACCCCAAATTCCACTCACCTGGGGCAATGATGAACCCATCAGGCTCAGCAGTTACCCCTGGCTGGTTTCAGTGCAGGCTTTGGCTGAGGCTGAGCAGATTATTGTGCTGCTGATTAAAGCCAGGCCCAGCACACCTGAGAGCTGTCCCCAGTCCTATTAGAGAAACCCCTGAGTACCTGCTTTAATTATCCTTGTCCTAAATTTCCACTTAGCTCCAGTTTTTAACAGCTGTTCTGCAAAAGATCTGATAAACCAGGGGTTGCCAAACACTGCTGGATGCTTCATTTCTTCACACCACTGATTATCTTGGTTTTTTATGATGCCTTAATGGAAAGTATTAATTAACCAAACCATTTGGAGCTCAGGTTACCTACAACAAGGAACATAACTGCTAAATGAGAACCTTACATTAATATCACTTCTCTTTGCTATGATAATGTGTCTTTAGGAATTCCATGCAAAGTGAGACAGTTTGAACAGGAATAACACTGGAAGGGGCAGTCTGGCCAATATGAGGAGTTGAGAGTCTCCTAGAATGCTCATTGCTTAAGATTCTTTCATGCTAAGAAGAAATAGTTCCAAGCTGTAGAGTACTCCAATTAGCAAGATACCAAATAGAAGAGACAAGACAATTCTGTTTTGAAATTAAAAGCCCAAGTTAAAATTCATTTTGAAATTAAAAACCCAAATACTCCTGGGTTTTGTTTCATTGTGGAATTTACCTGCAGAGTTTTGGAGTGCAGCCCCTAAGCTCTGGGGGTGACTTCCCTTGTACAGCAGCTCAGTCCTGCACGCACGGCTGGGATTTCCCTCTCCCCCTTCCCTCAGCATCCCCCAGTCCCTGCAGCTCAGCTGAGCCCTGATGTTAATCCCATTTCCGTGCGTTTCACACAAAAGTGGAGGAGCTGACATGGCCTGGAGGGCCAGTAGCTCAGGGCTGGATGTTCCCATGCTGCTTTCCCTTGTGAACCTGGTAATTTCAGGATCAGATTTCCCACTTTACAGATAACAGCAATAACATTTACTTCCTGGGCAGACCGTGGTGGGGAAACACAAAATCGAGTCTGACTGAGAGACCCAAGGGGAAGCTGCTAAAGGAAAGCAGAAGTAAATTCAGCATGTGCAGAGGAATGTCCATGTGGGGCTGATTTGTGCTCACCCTCGGGCAGACCTTGCTCAGGGCCCTGCCAGCTCCTGCTTTTCTGTACAGTCTGAGAGAGCTTTTCTGTACAGTCTGACTGAGCTTTTCTGTACAGTCTGACACTGTACAGTCTGACAGAGCTTTTCTGAAAAGTCTGACAAAGTTTTCTCCAGCTCTTAGCTGTTGGTGTGGTTTTAGATATCCAATCTTTGCTAGGGGTAAGAGTAATTTTCACTTTCACCAACAAATTCATTTATTCAAATTGAAGACTCCTCAGTTGCATCACAATCACACAGGAATTGCATTTTTTGCTGGTATTTTACCATGGTATGGTACATTTTGCTGGTATTTTACCATTTTTGCTGGTATTTTACCCAAAAGTTGAATTCAGTCATGTGGTTCTCTGAAAGGGTATTTCCTTACCTGAGTCAGGTATTTTACTGACACACAACAGGATGGTTTTTGAGTACAGTACACTTCCCACTACTTCTGTATGGTGCTGCTAAATGACTCCCTTTGTTATTGCTCCAGCCATGCACTGGCACTCAGAGACTGTATTAATTTTCCATTTCTAGGTCATATCTTCTAAAAGCACTCAGGATCTGCAGGGATTTACAGGGATTGCTAAATTCACAAAGAGCACAGGATTTTTAGTGGAAAGGCTGCATTACCACACAGAGCAGTGCTGCCTGAGGAGTTATGGAAAGCAGGGTGGGACCATCAGTGCAGGATGAGACTGTCAGAGCAGGATGAGACCATCAGTGCAGGATGAGACCATCAGTGCAGTGTGGGACCATCAGTGCAGGGTGGTGCAGAAGCTCCAGCTGTCCCCGTGTCACTCACCCCAGTGGGTGCAGTGCCAGCAGCAGGGCTCTGGCTCTGTCCCATGTCACTCACCCCAGTTTCCTGCTCTGCACGGTGCTGAAGCCGGTGAAGGAGCAGCTCCTGCTGATGCCACCCCCATCCCCAGGGGACACGAAGGTGAGCTTCACTGACATGGCTCCCACTCAGCGAGCCTGCTGCCTCCTGCAACAAAGCACAAAAACACATCAGGCCAAAGCCCCTTGGCTTGGTGCTCCTGCTCCTGCAAGCGCTGAGCTGCAGGGAAGTGGAAAGTCAAAACAACACGCAGCAGAATAAATTGGAAAAAAAGGCTTGTCTGCAATTCACGTTTCCTGTGTTGCCATCCACGGTACAATTAATAAAGGATTGAATGGTCTAAAATGAAATCTCTCATGCCCTCTTCAATTTCTGATTGATTTTACAAACTCGCGGTGCAAAAGCCAGAATAGCCTCCATTCAGAGGCTCTCTACATTTCTGACTCTTTAAAACCCCTGTAATTGTCCCAGTGCTTCAGGAGTGGGGCCAGCCCGTGCATTTCCAAGCCAGGGTGGATGCCAGAACCACTCTTAGGCTGCAGACTCAGCTGGGTCCCAAAAGCAGCTCCCTGCATCTGTGCAGAGCCCCCTGCACGCAGTGGTGGGATTGGCTGCGTGGTGCTTAAGCCCAAGGCAGAAGTCTGGTTTCAGCAGTAATTTCCAGGTTCATGCTCCTCCTCTGGCAGGGCTTCTCTTGGATTGCTCTCTTGTTTTCCATCAGTCAAACTCCTTTGCTTTGTGGAGAATTGTGTTCTCTGCCATATGTCTCCAGAATCCAAGGCCCAATATAAGTAACAGACACATCCTTCAAAGCAGCTGTAGAAAATCACCCAGACAGTTCATATACAGAAAATTTCCCTTCCTTTCCCCCTCAGGCTGGTGTAATGTAAACACCCCGAGTGAGTAAATCTGGGTATAACAAAAAGCTGGAGGATGTTTTTGGAGGGAGAAGGACAAACTCCAAGGAGGACTCTGAATGCTGCATGCAGAGATTTGTGCACATCACAGGATGTGCTCTGGAGGGATCAGGATCCATCACTCATCATCCAACACTGAGCCCCTCAGAGAGGGTTGTGGGGAGCAGCTCTGCCCTTGTGCTCGCCCTGATGGCTGCATCAGCCAGGATCCAACGCTCTGAATCCAGCACAGGATCCATCAGAGAGGGTTGTGGGGAGCAGCTCTGCCCTTGTGTGCTCTGATCCCTGTGGCATGGCTGCATCAGGATCCATCACTCACCATCCAACACTGAGTTCTGGGGAGCAGCTGTGCCCTTGTGTGCCTCAGAGCCTCAGGAGGACCCACAGAAATCTGTCACACAGAATTCAGGTGCCTCTCCCCACCCTGAATCAAACCACACAGCTCTCCTGTTGCCTTGCTTTGAGAAGATCCCCCTTGACACCCTCCATCAGAGCTCAGACTTGCATCAGATCCCAGCTGAAGTTTCACAACATTTTCCGTGCTTCCCTCTGGATCTGAGATGTTTGTAAGCCTGTGAACTGTCACCCCATCAAAAGGATCATTAGCCTGAAGAAAGCATGCAACTTACTGAAAAATGGAATTGCATAACAAGCTGCTAAAGGAAGAAATAAAGGGAATAGCCTTGTGGTTATTGACCACATCCCTCATCAAGGCTAAGCCAGATTCCCAGGATCTATTTTTGAGCTCTTTAACCTGGGAAATTCAGTCCATGGCTGTGAAGGAGGAGGAAAGTGCAGGAGCAGCTGCTCTGGAGCCCACCATGGCTCTGAAAGCCTTTGGAGCACACAGATGTGGAGCAAACACAACCAGGCAGACCCATGGCAGGGAACAGAAAGAGGACAATTATGAGAAGACTTCTGAAGTAAAATCTGTGGCACTGAGCTCTGGATGTGAAGGACTGTGGGAAATGCAGAGACCCCAAAACTCTGAAATTGCCCAAATTGCCCAAATTGCCCAAATTGCCTGGAGCTGACCACGTGTGTTTATATGCCAGTGTCACTCTGCATTCCCAGGAGCTGCACTGTGCAATGCAGCACAAGCCAGAGATGCCCTGGCCCTCACATGGCACGGCCAAGGTCGTGTCAGCCCTGCTGGGGTCGTTCCTGTGACTGCCCAAAGCTCAGTCCCCACTGCCCTGCCCTGCCCTGATGCACCCACCAGCACAGCTCCCACTCCCTGAGAATGAGGAGAATTAAATAAAGCACCATTCAAGGGCTATCACCTCAAAACCATGCCAGCAAAGCCAGTGCCTCTCAATACACACTTACACATGGATTTCTTGTGGTGACTGAGAAATCTCACAGCTCATTTCACACTCCTGAGCAGAGCACCATAAGGTGGATGTCAATAAAAGATTTTATTTGTAAGGAAGACTTATAAATGCAGTTGTTTAAACAGAGGCTTTGCTAGCTGGAGTGTCTGTGTAAAAGTGCTGAGCTACACAAGTGCCCCTGAGAAGAAGCATCTGGACCCATCTCAGACTGTGCCCTCCCTTTAGGGCAGAAATAAATCAGAAAAGGGCCCTGACAAAGCTCAGCTCAAATCTGCCTCCAACCTGGAACCTCTGCTGTGCAGGCCAGAGGGTCCAGGTCCCATGAAAGCAGGATTGTGCCTGGGGAGCAGAGGAACTCTCCCTGTCATGTTCCCCAGGAGCGGGAGGGTGGATGGGGCAGAGAGCCAGGGATGCACAGCACAGCAGGGCAGAGCAGGAGGAATTGCCAGGCACAGCTGGAGCCCAAACTGCAGGAGAAGCCACGGGGCCTGGGCAAGGTGAGCTGTGAGCCCTGGGCACCTCCTGCTGCCAGGGACTCTGCCTGGGGGCTTCAATGGGGGGATTTGTACAATTCAGGGCTCGGGGATGGATCTCTCAGCCAAAACAGGATTTTCCAGATTGAATGGGCAGGTTTGTTTGGGCCTGGCTCAGTGCTCTGTTTGCCATGGCAGATCCTGGTGTGCCAGCTCTGGTGTGACCCAGGCAGGCTGGGGCTCCCTGGGCACACAGGACACACAGGACACACAGACAGGACAGCCAGGACACACAGGACACAGACAGGACACAGACAGGACACACAGCCAGGACACACACACAGGACACACAGCCAGGACACACAGACAGAACACACAGGACACCGACAGGACACACAGGACACACAGACAGGACACAAAGACAGGACACACAGACAGGACACACAGGACACACAGGACACACAGACTGCACCTCCTGCTCCCCCCCTGAGCCCAATGACCCTCACCTTCCACAAACTCCATCATGCTGTCTGTTTGTGCTTATGGATAAACTTTTCCAGCCCTACTCTCATCTTTAATTGTTTCTGGGCACAATGGTCTCAACAATTTGATGAGGAAAATATGACTCACCACTTGCAAAACGTTTCTGCTCGTGTTTTGGGCTTTAAGGGAGTGGCCATGATTTGGTGTCAGCCTCTCAGAGAGTCCACTGGGTGACCTACAGTGTGTGATGCTCCAGCTGGCAGTGGGTAGGGGACACTTTCTCCTGGCTCTTTCTGCACAAACTGCCCCAGCTCTGCTGCCCTGGCAGCCTGGGCAGCCTCAGAGCTGCCCATGGCACCCTGCTCTTCCCTGGTGTGACAAAAACCAGGCTGAAAACAAATTATTGTCACTATAGAAAACAACAATATTAATGTACAATAACAGTATTGATATACAATAACAATATAACTATACAATAACAATATCAATATACAATAACAATATCAATCTACAATAACAATATATATATACAATAACAATATCAATCTACAATAACAATATAGATATACAATAACAATACCAATATACAATAACAATATAGATATACAATAAGAATATAGATATACAATAACAATACCAATCTACAATAACAATATCAATAACAATTCCTTCAGACACCAGCTGTTCATGGCTCCAGAGGCTGAGGCTCACCTGTGTGACTGGGGACACCTTTTGTGATTGTGACAATTTGCCTCCCACCGCCTGCTCAAACCTTCTCCTCCTGCTTTTAGGCCCCTGTTATTTTTGTGCATAATTTCATTTGTAAATATTGCACTCGCTTTGCTTGGAAGGACAAGAGAGCAATTTTATCTTTGAGCTGTGGGAAGCAAACAGAGTTGATTTCACTCTGTACTATCACAACATGATGCTTAATTCAGAATGTGGGAAGCCCAACAGTTTATTGGGGGGCTGGAGCCTTCCTGCTGCAATCTGGGCTCACATTGGTGCCCATCAGGAGAGCACAGCAGAGCACATGGGTTTGTTGCAGAGCTGCCACCTGGAACTGATGCCTTTTACAGCATGGTTTTATGAAATTCACTCCATGGCAGCCACACAAAGGGGACACTGGGCTGTGCTGGTTCTGCACCACCTCTGCTGGAGCCCAGCTTGGACTGCCCAGAGCCAAAATCAGCAGAGATTGAGTGCATGGACATTGAGGGCCTTCAGAGACCTTCCCTGACTCAGGGGATGGGCTGCAATTCCAAATAATCATCAGCTGCTTCAAAAACAGTCACTCAAAGCTGCTGGGTTCCCATTCTGCTCCCCTGAATTTGTTATAAATCCTAACAGAAGAACAGCTTTGCTGCTGGAATTGCATCAGGATCAGGGTTTAGCTGGAAGGAACACACACTGCAATGGCTGAAAACACAGCCCCAGCATGATTACACCAAAAGCTTTAGCTCTGAAACTGACTTTGCAAGCTGGGCTGTGTTTGCCTGCATCACACTGATGTAATCCCAATTCTTTTCCTTCTTGCTTGTTTCAAACCACAGGGACAGAGGATTTACCTGCTCCTCCTGGTGCTGCTGAGGGTGCTATCCCAGCTGACAATGGCATTTCCCTTTTGTGGTTCTGATAAAGGGAAAATCAGATTTCCACCCTGGAGCAGAGCCCTGTCAGAGCCTCGGGGTGCTCCAGGCCTGACCCCTGAGGGTTCTGTGGCACTGCTGGGCATGCGAGGAGCCCAGAGCAGGGGTGGGAGGTGAGAGGGGCTGAGCAGCCCCGGGGCCTGAGGGAGCAGCACTCAGTGAGCCCCGGGCTGAATCCCCTGGGAAAATACACCCAGAGCTCAGCCCCTGCTCCCCAGCATTCCTCAGCGGAACCATTGACCTCAGGAGCAATGGCTGCTGTGCTGCATAAACATTCCACATTTATCACTCAGACCCCTTACACTTCAAGTGGTTTTGTTCAGCTGTTGGACAAACATTCTATTTATACCGCTATGGGCAGAACTAAGAAAAAGTTATCCTTCAAAAGACGCAAAATAATTTGAATTAGGGAGACACACAGCACCCTTGGGACAGCAGGGAACCAGCAGCTTCCACCCATTCAGCAAGATCTCTGCTGGGTTGAGACTGAGCAATTTGAGCAATTACATCCCAGTTTTGCCCCAGATGGAAGCTCTTGCTCCCCTGTGTAGCTGCACATGTTCCACAGAACTTCTTCACCTGAGCCTGTTTAACTCAGATTATGAGTTGGGCCCTTTACTCTGCACCAAACTTACATCTGTCAGGTCCTGTTTGGAAAATATCTAATGATTCAGGAACACAATCCCCACTCTCATGGGCACTTCCAGCCCTTAAGAGCAGCTTCAATTGATTTTTAATAAGAATTACACCCAGAGCTTGCATTGTTTAGAAAGACAGGACTTCACTGTGTAACTAGATTTGGTACTTCTGCAAATTTCACCTATGCAGATCCAGCTCTTGAATATACATTTAAATACTTGTTTAAATACTTTCCTCCTAGCCATACTTAAGCCATTGAAAGAGATCAGATAAAGAGCTTTGATCCAAGTTATTGCTTTACTCATCAGGCCCTCCCACAGCTCCCTGCCAGCTGCTGGAAATGGCATTCTGGAGCCAACAATGAATTTCAATATCTCAGACAGCTCGTCCCATGCTGGAGGTCAGGTCCATGGCCCCATTTTGGGGGCTCCTTGAACACAGGACTCAAATTTCAAGCGCAGGGCGAGCTGCTTTTCAGGGCTGCACCCCAAATGTTCCTGTGTTTGCAATCACTTTCCATCCCAGCCCTCAGCTCCAGGTGCTGCTCTCAGCGTGCACATCCAGAGGAATTAATCAGCCGTTTGTTCCAGGTTCCCAGCAGAATGCAGCAGCAGGACTTGGCCAGCCCCGGTTACTGACCTGGCGATGATTTTCCAAGGCACAGTGCTGTGGCCTCTGGGTGCCTCCAGCAGCAGCCAGGGAGCCCAGGGGCAGCTCAGCGTGGCTCACCCATGGCAGCGCCCTTTTCCTCATGGAAATGGGGTTCTGGGGGTCCCAGCTGGCAGGGAGCCCCAGCGTGGGGCTCGGGAAAGCTGCAGGGAGTGCTCAAAACCCAGGGCTGTGAATCACAGCCTCTGGTGCTGCTGAATGGCACAAACCCTGTGTCATTCACCTGGCTGACCAGGAGCACCGTCCCTGTACAGGAACTGAACCACCCAGCCCGTTCCTGTGGCAAACATGGTTTATTCCCATAAATGTTACCAGGATCATTTTGTGCCACAGAAATGAAGAAGTTGCTAAGTTAGGATCAGTATCACAAAGAACACTGGAAAAAGAGGAATAGTATATAAAATTTCGTAGAAGAGGTAAATAGAAGGGACAAAAGGTTTATGCTTTAAAGCCAAATATTTACTTGTGGGAAAACCCAAGCATCTGAATGGATGTGGATATATCTGTACTTTCCCTTCACTTCTTACCAGTTCCCAATACACATGCTCTGACATTCATGGCCCACATTTCTTACACTGTTACTCTCTGCTTTTATTTGGTTTGGGCTTGTTTTTAATGAGGTGAACTTTGCACAGCCCAGCTCAAGCTCCTATGAAATCTGAAATGGCCAGATTTGGCGGTTTTCTGTGGAGAGAAAAAGCCCCCATGCTAACCACAGTGCTGTGCTTGGAACCAGAGGTCTCAGCCCCTTAAACTGAGCTAACGAGGACAGAGGATGGTCAGGAAAACTGGGTCCTGCCTGTGGAGTTATGGCAAGAGTGCTGCAAAGGCTGATGGTTCAACAGAAGGGAACTTCTGCTAGAAATCTGGCTGAACAAGAGCATTTCCAAACTAACTTTGCCCACCAGTGTGTTTGAAATATCCAGAGTCGCCTGCTGCTGGCTCAGAAAGAGATAAAGGTTTTCAGGGCCGTCCCTCAGAAACACTGGGAGCATTGCCATCACTTCAGAGATGATCAGTGAGAGCTTGGAGGTCATGGCTTGGCACTCAGGCTGGAAAAATGCATAAGTGTGGCTTTTTTTCTTTTTTAGAAAAGCTGCATCAGATTCTCCCTCTGGTGCCAAGCCTAAGCTCCTTTAAAACAATGATTCCTGATTTGTTTTCATGTGCTCCCCATCAGTCCTTTCCCTGCAGTGTGGAGCAGGTCCCTTGCACTGAAGGAATCTTCTGCTGAATAAAGTCTTGTGAGACACAGTCATTACATGCAGAGGAAACTGGGTTTAGTGGGGCCCTGGTTCCCCTGGGAACTTCCATTATATAAATTATTAATAATAAAAATAAACATTGGCTAGCTTGAACTTCTCTTCATTCCCTTGGAGCTTATTTTTGTGATGGAATTAGCTAAATAAAGCCCACTTGAAAGAATGTTTAATTGCAAACTATCCAAGGAAAACAAAATGGAACTAATTGGTTCTTAGATATTAAACATTCAAAAGGAGATGGCTTTGGAAACAGCTGAAAGGCTGATGTGCATTAGGATACAAATGGTGCAGAAGGCAGCTGAGGAAAATGCAGTCTAAACTGGACTACATTTACTTTTAAACCAGATATTCAAGTTTAGTCAGTCTGGCCCTGCCTAGAAGAAAGCTTTGGATTGTTTCAAGCCTAAACAGAATCACAGCAGCACTCTGGAAAGTCATAAAATCAGAGGGGGCAAACTTGTGTACTGACCTCTGGGCATCATTTGCCCAGGAAACAATAAAGAACCCTAAAGAACCCTAAAAAACCAAAGCTCCAGGGATTGCTGCTTCCTGGAGCTCCCTGAGAGCCCCTCCAGCCTGAGGACATCCTAGCAGGGGCTGTTCCATGGGAATTTCTAGAGCACTGTTTTCCTGCTGGGAGGGCTCCCAAGCCCCTCTGAACCCCCAAAGCAGGGTGGCTGTGCCTGCACTGCCTGAGAGCTGCCCTGGCCTCCCCACCCTGCCCCAGCCCTTGGGCCACTGCGTTTAATTCAGGTGTTTCAGCACATGGGAAATGGGAGAACTCCCTTCTCAGGCTCACCAGAAGTTAAAGAGCTGCCACACTTATTTCAGAGGCGTTTCCAGCAGGACTGGGAAGTGATGGCTCCAACGTGACTGGAACTTGCAAACAAGAAAAATCCCTCAGCATTGAAAGGGAGCAAGAGCAGGTAAGTCCTAACAAGAATCATACAGTAAAGACAATAACAAGAATCATACAGTAAAGACAATTTTAAGCACTACTGAGTGGCAGAAGAACATTTCTCTGGAGGAGCAGTGTGCAGTGGATCGGGCTGCTGCTCTGCCCCTGAAGGGACACTGGCTCATCAGAACATGTTTACCCTCCCACTTATCAATGGGTGACAGTGACAGTGCCTCTGCCAGAGATAACAAATTCCTGGAAATGGAAATGTCAGGGCCCCCAGAACAGCCAGCCCAGGCACACAGAGCTGCTCCTGGAAGCAAAGGGCACACACAACTGGAAGTGCTAAGCAGGAGCTGCTCAGCAGGATCAGCCAAGATCAAACCACTTCAACATTTAGGCCAAAAGCTAATGCAGTTTAAGGTCCCTTGAAATGTTATGAATACCATCAACAAACACGGCAAGAGTCACTCATGAAAATGCATTTCAGCTTTGCGCACAAAAAATCAATCAGCTCTCTGTCTCAGACTTCTTCAAAGTCTGTGAACCCAATTGTTTGCTCCCTGAGGATCCAGGGCTTTCACTGCAACTACACATCTGCTTAGTGTTTCCTATTTTTGAGAATCACAAGGAGTTTTTCTTAGACCTTCACTCAGCATCTATGGGCCAGGGAGCTCCTGAAGCCCCCTGGAGATGCTCTGCAGAGCTGAGGGCAGTGCCCTGGGCAGGGACCCTCCTGCACCCTTGGGTTCTGTTCCAAATTCAGAAATGGCCATTCAGGTAGAGAACACATTGACAGGAGATGCCAGCAGTGCACCAATGCAGAACCAGGGCTGAACCCAGCCTGAGCCAGCTGCAGCAGCAGGGGCAGAGTGCATTGCAGTGCTCTCCATGTCCTGACAGAAACGTGCAGCTCTGCTCTGTGTGACTTGGCTTCCTCAGGACAGATATTTTACAGGAAGATTCAGTTTTACTGTACTGTAAACATCATTTGACAATTACAGGTCAAAGTATCCTCACTTATTGCTTTAAGTGAAACTAAAAGTAGTCAAATTCATACACACACACACAGGGAAAAGATTCATCATGTGTGAATCACCACAGCTCTGGGGAAAACAGCACAGAAAATCATGTCTGAGTGGAGACCTTACCAGAAGATGCAGTGTGTGTTCTCATCCAGAGCCTTCTCCTGCAGAGCATGTTCTCCTTACAATTGTGGTTTTGTTCTTGAAGAACCAGAGCTCAAGCAATTTTGAGATACTTTGCATTGCTACTTAAATGTTTTGCACTTCTGCTGTTTGTTTGCAGGCAGCTGGGATGCCCCAACCCATTTTCTAAGGTTATTTAAATTCTTCTTTATTTGTTAACAAATTATGTTGTTGCACAACGCATTGGCATGTGAACCCTTCAGAAAAAGGGAGAGGCACAACTGGGCCCAGCGGAATCAGGAAGGAGCTCCAGTGACCTCAGCAGAGTTACACAAAGGACAGCTCTATTGTGCCAGTGCTGGCTGAAGGAACATTTCTGTGTGTCAGGGCTCTGCACAGGGCTCATCTTCCAGGGCAGTGTCTGGGGCTCCATTTCACACAACAGGGACACATTTCCATCCATCTGGGCATTTGGTGCTGCACTAACAGCCCCAAGAAATGTGCAGTTACATTTACAACAAACTCACACAACACTGTATGTTACTGCAGGACTCAAACCCAGGCATTTCCACACTTGATCCACCCAATGAAAATGCTCTTCTCTTCTCTGCCATTCCAAAAAACCAGATCACTAACTGTTATAAAACAACTGCCTTCAAAACTCCAGCAAAGGCCCTGAACTTTCTGTGCAGACCAAGTCCCAGCCACATGCCCTGGGCTGCATTGGGAATATCCCCTTGGAAAACCCCAGCCTGCTGTTTTAACTTTACAGAGCTCAGCAAACAAAATCCTTCCCTACAATCTGGAGAAATCTTCTAAACCCTCTCTGTGAAATTTCAGTTACATAATGGAAACATCTCAGAAATCCAGTGCCCAGGGAAAGGGGAGGTTATGGAGGTGGTGTTTGTTCTGCACCAGTAAAAGTACAAACCTATTCACACCAACATTAAAGCAGAAACATTCAGATTTTAAAGCACACTGAGGCCTTGGAATTGCCTCCCTGTTTATCTGTTCAGGCCCAGTATTGGAAAATTATATTTCCCTCTTCAAGTCTGTAGCCATTTCAATAATAAAACAGAGGTTATGTAAGTGCAGAGAATTATGGAACAGTGTAAGTGGAAAGTACATAGTTTTAAATTTATTTGAATAACTCAAATACAGCTGAACTGACATTATTCACACTTTCCAGTCTTAGTCAATACTGGATTGAAACCAAGCACAAGACATTTCAGGCCCAAAGGAGGTTTTTAAGAAAATTACAAGTACCTATATTTCCAGTTTACAATGCCTGTCTGGGAAAGCTCCACTGCCTAAGGGAACAGCAAGCTGCCTTCTCATGGGATCAAACAGCAGAGATGTGAACTAATTAAGGGCACCTTTGGATCAGCCTGTAAACACAGGGCAGGTTCCACCCCAAAGAGCAGAAACTGGATGCAAATAGCTGAGGTGTCCCAGGCAAGCAGGGCTGCAGAGCCACATTTCCCTCTGCAAACTCATTTCTAACCTGGGCAGACCCCAGCTGCAGGCCCAGCTCTGCATTCCTCCCACACCCCGGGCTGGAGCCGTGCCTGCACAAGGAATGCAGCAGGGAAATGAGCTCCTTATCGGCCTGGCACATCTTGCTGGGTGATGTGATGCCTGTGGGGCTGCCAGGGCTCCAGTGTGGGGCATGGCATGCAGCCTAGCTCCACAGCTCCAGACAGCAAGCCAGGGCACTTGGAATAAGGTTAAACTGCCTTCTAAAGCATAAAAAACTGCTCCTGACTCAGGGATACCTGGATGTATCTCTGTTACAAAGAATTTTCATCAAAGGAAAAGCGAAGATCCCAGATTTGCACAAGAATGAGTAAAAAAGGGAATAAATTGTGCAGACTCAGGGGCATTTGAAAGTCTGGCTATAAGATGATAGATTTAATAACCATAACTCTCCCAGAGGGGAATACTAAACACAGAAAGAAGGACAGGAGGTTTCTCAGGACAGCCCCGTGTGTCCATTCCCTCCCAAATCATGGGCAGCACCATGCACACAACAGCATGTGGCAAATCTTTCCCTCACTCCAAAGAGAGCCAAACTTCACCTTGGCTGTGGGTGAGATAAGCCAGTCATGGCTCTTTCAGCTCCACACCAGCAGTATTTTGACATTGTGCAGGGACAGAGACCTCCCAAAAGCATGAAGCACAAAGAGCTGTGGAAACAAGGCTCTTGATGTCTGCATTGTGGCTTTTGGAAATGTTGCCAGGGCTGGGACCCTCCTGGATGTTCCTCTCATTACTGCCCCCAAACAAATGCAAACCTGCAGGATAAGGATGCTATGCTGTTGTCAGGAGTGTCACAAGGACATGTTAAGGTAATTCACAGTGCATTTTATCCAGAGAAATATTTTCATAACAGCTGAGAAAAGAGTGTGTTGAATAAAGCATCTGCTGGTTTGAGAAAAAGAAATGCTAGCTAAAATCAAGGCCTTTGGCTACTTTAAGGCTTCCTAGGCAAGATTAAATCAAAATATTTCCTGTAAACATTCCCTCTTTTCATCAGCATGTCAGTTGTAGTAAGGAGAATGTGATCCTAATTCTCAGCCTCCAAATCTGGGACAACTATAAAGTCAAATGTTTTCTTACTTTCACAGAAACAACTGTGACTGGAAATATTTTCCAAAGCATGTTGCAAGTGGAGGTAAGTAAATCAGCTAGCACACAGCACATTTTTAAAGGAAAAAAGTTTCTAAAAATGAATCAGGATTTAATAAAAAATGTCTCTGAGGTACGTAAGTCATGCCCATAATAGAATATTTTTCAATTTTCAACCCTGTATAGAGAATTTTAAACCAATAGCAGATGTAGGAAACAAAAGCAAAATTGTCCCTTATTCTCTGCTGTGCACACACACACAGATAGAAACAGGGAAACCAAGGAGAGGCTCTCAAACATTTTCCACAAGAAAGACAATTTGCTCACAATTCCTTCTCCCTTTAAATTGTTTCTGTGGCAACACATCTGGTGCTGCAGTTCTGGGCCAGAACATGAACTCCACTGCAAGAAGAAAGTGATGTTGTTGTTCTGCCTGCAGGACGTGAGCAGAGAGGGGTCTGTGGGCAGAGGGGTCTGAGAGCAGAGGGGTCTGTGGGCAGAGAGGGGTCTGTAAGCAGGGAGGGGTCTGTGGGCAGGGAGGGGTCTGTGGGCAAACAGGGGTCTGTGGGCAGGGAGGGGTCTGTGGGCAAAGAGGGGTCTGAGAGCAGAGAGGGGTCTGTGGGCAGAGAGGGGTCTGAGAGCAGAGAGGGGTCTGTGGGCAGGGAGGGGTCTGAGAGCAGAGAGGGGTCTGTGAGCAAACAGGGGTCTGTGGGCAGAGAGGGGTCTGAGAGCAGAGGGGTCTGAGAGCAGAGAGGGGTCTGAGAGCAGGGAGGGGTCTGTGAGCAAACAGGGGTCTGTGGGCAAACAGGGGTCTGTGGGCAGAGAGGAGTCTGTAAGCAGAGAGGGGTCTGTGAGCAAACAGGGGTCTGTGGGCAGAGAGGGGTCTGTGGGCAGAGAGGAGTCTGTGGGCAAAGAGGGGTCTGAGAGCAGAGAGGGGTCTGTGAGCAGAGGGGTCTGTGGGCAGGGAGGGGTCTGAGAGCAGAGAGGGGTCTGTGGGCAGAGAGGGGTCTGTGGGCAGAGGGGTCTGTGGGCAGAGAGGGGTCTGTGGGCAAAGAGGGGTCTGTGGGCACACGTACCCAGCCACCCCTCCTGCCTCCCCTGCACACAGAGCAGCAGCATTGAGGTTTATGCACAGCTCCAAACTGCAAGTCTTAAAGCATTCCAACAATGGCCAGAGGAAGCTCTCAGGGTAAACTCAGTCTATAAGCCAGGGGTTTGTAAAATAAAATGATGAGTGCTTTGCTGCTGCTGCTCCTACTGTGTGAATAAATCAATTATCCAGCTGAGAGGAACAAGGTTCGTTCCCTAATCATAAACATAACTCTCCCTATGCAATGGAGCAGGACTGGTGTTGATCCCTTATCT